GGATGAAAATGCCATCGGAGAATGAAACCTTGACCGCCTCTGCAGTCTTTGTTACAACAACAGATGCAGGCAGTCATTAGCTGGTCTCCTAAGAAGATCTTGTTATCTAGAGCTGCACTCTTCCCTCCCAGTTCTTTGCCAGTGAGCCGAGAGCTTCCCTGTATCATTGCCCCCCAAAGCAGCCCACAATCTGTCTCGCCAGACCTTGGCAATGCTGCCCTCCAACAAGATGCCCAGCAACCCTGACCATCGTGACAGCATCATCACTAGCACCCGCCTTAACTGCCCCACTCAGAAAGTCAGTTCAAGGCTGGATCAGTGTCGCCAAAGCTCTTCAAATGCCCCGGAGGCAGTCTGGGCATTTATCTCTGCTAATGCATGCATATGTTCAACTGCAAGGCATTTTTTAATAATGAGGGAGGTGAGGGTCACTTTCTCCAACACTTGTGCTCATGCTTGAGCTCGTTTACCAGTTGATAACCATATTCCCATCCGGAATGAGATTTATTAAAAAGATTTTCAAGCATTACAAATGGTTAAGTGTAAACGATTTCAAGAGGCAGCACACAGGAATCCGGGAAGCTGCCTTATACTGAATCAGACCATCCAGCTCAGTGCAGTCTACACTGACTGGCAGAGGCTCTGGGGGTGGGGTGGGGGGTTTGCAGATATAAGGCATTCCAAGTCCTACTGGGAGATGCCAGGGATTGAATCTGGATTCTCCAGCATGCAAGGTACTGTAGATACTCTATCACTGAGCCAATGTCCATTTGCAAATATCAGAAACTAAACTGGGATGGAGATATGCATTTTTTAAAAAATAAAACAATGAAGAAATAGTTTAAAGCGGTTCTCAACCTGTGGATCCCCAGATGTTGTTGGACTACAACTCCCATCATCCCTGAGCTCTGGCCTTGCTAGCTAGGGGTGATGGGAGTTGTAGTTCAACAACATCTGGGGACCCACAGATTGAGAAAGGCTGGAAGGAAAAAGAGGAAATGCAAGAGGAACAAAGGTAGTCTAGCAAGGGTGCAGCCTACCCTCTGTATGTTTTGGACTACAACTCCCATCAGCCTCTGCCAACGGTGATGTTGGGATCCAATACATACAGTGGGCAGCAGGTATGTGAATGTTGGCATAATGAGTCACCCATCTGAAATAAAGACTTGCACATGGTTACTTTGGGCACAGATAATGAAAGGCAATCAAATGATCCAGGAGTCATCTATAGGAGTCGGATCTCATTGGGCTTTTGTTTGGTGAGATATTTTTACCCAATATGAGGAGGTTTTCTCAAACCATTATTTTAATAGATGGTACCTTCTCACTGCAGTAAGGAGGGAAATGATGTAAGCAGTGCTTTTGTAGGTTTTTTAATGCTTCTAATGGTGTAACAAATGGGAAGTGTGGGAGACAAGCTTGTGTACTCAGAGCATACAGGGATTTGGGCTTTCAAACGTTAGCACCTATTGCTTCAGAGCACCTCATTCTAGCTGTTGATGTTTGCTTGCCATTATGGTTAATTGCTGCAATATACACACTTTGGGAGCCCAGCAGATGTAATACTGCTCTTTAACATAAGATTAAAAACTACAGTGCAAAATATAAATTGTACGAAATCGTGACCACAGTCAATGTATCCTTTGTCTATTCAAGGCTGATAAAAGAACATACTTTTTCACACGGCACATAGTTAAACTCACTCCCACAAGAAGCAGTGATGGTGACCAGCAGGCTCTTCTTATGTTCTTATGAGGAATGAAACAAAGCCTCTGTTTCCAAATTGTCCCTCTCTAAAGATTTTGCAAGCACCACACCTCCTTCCTTCTCTACAAGAACAGAAATGCTGTAAGAATGTTATTCTTTATAGATAGTCAACGCCTGCATTCCCAGAGGTCACTATATTCTCTTGAATAAGCCATATCAGCCTGGTGCCTTCCAGACTTTTTGGGCTACAACCTCCATCAGCTCTAGGAAAATTCGATCCAAACCTTAAATTTGAAGCTGGGACAATCAGCCCTTTACCACCTCCAATATACACAGATGGTCAGATTCTTGAAGGAAGCTATCAGTTATCGGTAAGAAGTTCATAGGTATGGAAGATTCACCATAAGGAAGTTATATGTGGGGAGGGAGTGGCTGAGGAACCAAAGTGCTTTATGAAAGACCCTCTAGAGAAGCAGATTGACAGTTTCCCATCTCCTTTCCAGAAAGGAAATATGCAACCAACAGGTATAATGAGTTGGACTGGTAGCTCTCTAGGGTTTTAGATGGGGAATCTTTCTCAGCCCTACCTGGAGATGCCATTGGGGATTGAACCTGGGACCTTCTGCATGGAAAACAGATGCTCAACCTACTGAGCTATGGTCCTTCACCATATTGAATCAGACAATTCATCCATCCAGCTCAATACTATATAAACTGACCGGGAGTGGCTCTCAAGGGTTTCAGAATGGGAGTCCTACCTGGAGATCCTGGGCATGGAACCAGGGAACTTCTGCATGCAATGCAGATGTGCTTCCACTGAGTGATCAAGTTGCATCACAGGCTCAATAGCTAGCTGTTCCTAATGCCAGTGATAGTGGAGAATTATGTGCGCTGTTCCATATCAACATCTCTTCCCAGAATGTGAAAGCAATGGAAGCACCATCACTGAGAGATGCCTGGACAAACATTTGCACTCAAAATGCCATTTATGTGCTGGGGTGGAGAAGACCTCTGCATGGGGATTTTGTTTGACCCTACAGTGCCACCAGCCCCTATAAGCCCCACTTGGCAAGAGTGCCAATTCTTGCGCTTATCCATGCAATAATCTGGGAGAAGCCACATAGATTGCTGTACTTGCCCTAAGCCTCTTGGAAGAGCTGCAGCTCAGTCCTATGGGTAATCCTCCTGAATTCTAGCAGAAATGTTGCAAAACAGCAGTGCAGGAAACTCCAGCGTCAACAAACTCCCCAGTGTGCAGCTCGGGGAGTTTTATTTGAAAAATGCTGCTGTCTTTCTGCCCCAAAGTCCATTTATTTATTTATTTAGCAAAATGTATGCGCCGCTTTACTTATTTATTCCCCAAGATTGATATAATGCTTGATGGTAATAAAATAAAAGCCAGTGGTAATGTAGTGGTTAGAGTGTCAGAGTAGGACCTGGAGGGGACAAGGGTTCAAATTCCCACTTGGCATGAAGCTCACTGGGTGACCTTGGGTCAGTGGCTGTCTCTCAGCCTAGCCTACCTCACAAGGTTGTTGTGGAGATTAAATAAGGACCATGCATGCTACCCTGAGATCATTGGAGAGAGAAAACGAGGGATATAAATGCAATAAAGTAAATAATAAAACCTCAAAGGAGTTTACAAAAAGAACAAAGCTATAACATTTTCAGTTTTTTCATTAAAACATTTAAAAACAAATATTGAAATCATTAAAAAATATATATAATTGTAAATAAACCTCTGAACAGTTTAATAATATGTATGTGTGCCACATACAATTTCCTTCCTCATCACCTTCACCTTTGGACTTTACATCTTTTAAAGGTCAGAGCACCACAGATCAGTAAGCCCAACTTTATTTTTCACACATCCAGTTGCTCATACATCATGGCTTTTTACAAAAGGGACTAAAAGGTTAGACTCCTCTGCCATTCTTCCGCACTCCTGAATTTTTGTGTTTAGGTGGATGCAATTTTAATATCTTTTTTTTAGTCATTCCCAAACCAGGGCACACTTGCTGTGTTCTAGATGCATCAATTTCAGTCTCTTGCTCACCCTATCCTGAATGTTGGGTAGTGGAGGAAAGTAACTGTACATTTACAAAAAGTTGTGTTTTTTAAATGCCATTAAATCTGTTTCAGATTGACTGGAGAATAGGCACATCATCAAGGCTCAACCCCCAAACCTACCTTGCTTCTAAAACCCAACCATCACCACCTTCATAATCAATATATTTGGTTTGCTCTTGCAGATGCTACTCTTTAGCTCCCCTGCTCCCATCAAAGCCCAGCTGGTCTAGAAAAAGTTTTCATGCCCACCTCCTCCATTCACAGAGATGCTCGGTGCACAAAACCAGGGAAGAGTCATTGTTTATTCCTGAGGTACATTTTTCAGGATCTAACCCACCCCATCCTGAATTCTGCAGGGTGGTAGGAAAGGATGCAGGTCCCGTAAAGTGACAGTATATTAAATATGGTCATTAAAACTCAAACATTCAGAGAGATTGGACATATTCTTCAAAGCTCAACCCCAAAACCTTTCTTGCTCCTTAATAAGCCAACCACCACCATCCAGGTATCTGATATGCTCCTGCAGGCTCTTAATTTCTACCGGTCCAGGAAAAGTTTCCACATCCACCTCCTCATTTACACACGGACTCTCACAAACCCCTGATCTACCCCAATTAGGGAAGATCTCTTAGCCATTGATCAAACAGAAGGCGAGAGGGTCCCTGACTCTCTGCACCCACAGGGCTGGAGCAAAGAGCCCTCTTCCTCCATAATTTTTATTTACCATTTAATATGCAAAATCCCTGAGTAGCTTACAATAAATATAGTAAGATAAGGGGGGGGGAAGCAAAATGCATATACTACATTGAAAACCCAAACCACAGAGAAATACATGAGTCAAGACAGAGAAGTCATCAATAAAACATGCGGTGAAACATTTATTTATTTATTTGTTTATTTATTTATATCCCGCCTTTTCCCCAAGACCAGGGCTCAAGGCGGCTTACACAATGCAGATAAAACAAAGGAGGCAGAAAAGCATATGCAAATTAATAGTTAAAAAGTATAACGGAATTAAAGCAAGATTAAAAACAACAACAGATCTACTAAAACGCAGAGAGTAAAAGCAGCAAAAGCACTATTTTCAAAGCTCTTTCCTTACAAAACGGCCAGTCTCCCCCGTGCCCCAGCATGTTGGAATAAAACAGAATAAACGGCGGAAGGAGAGGAAGGAGGCAGCCGGTCTAGCTTCAAATACAGAGCAATGCGAACAAGTTTCCTACCTGGCCAGGGGCTTGCGGGAGGTGATGCTGGCGACGATGACGCTGCCGGGTCTTGGAGTGGCCACGGCTTTGAAGGTCCCTCTCCAGAACTTCTCGAACAGCTGCTTTTCGCCCTGCTGGACGCTCGCCATGGCCCGACCGTCAAAGCGCCGCCGCGCTCGGAACTGTCCAGGGTGCTGAAATGTTACATTTCCGCCTCTCCAAGCCCGGGGGTTCTCTCACCTGGCCGGCGCCTGCCTAAGACGGTTTGCCCTGGCGGGGTAATAGCCTGGATCGACAATATTTTTTGGGGGGGGGGGATCACCAAGCCCTGTGTTTCCTGCGTAAGGGAAGCGCCTCCGTCTGCCTCCCGACCCGGCTGTGCGTGCGCGCTAAGCCCAGGCAGGCGGGCGTTTTGTCTTTGCTCCGATGTGACGCGCAGCTCGGGGGGCTGGTCAATTTTCAAGAGCTGCTGCTGCGCTCTCTCCTCCTCCGTCTGCCTGGAAAACATCAGACAAAAGACGGAGGGGCTCCTCCAGCCCGAATCAGCATCACAAAGGGCGGCTGGTCCCCGGGTCCTCCGGGCGTGTGCCTGTCAATGGCCTGGGAGGGGAGAACGGGGGTGGGGAGGACAGGGCGAGGCGCTGACTCAGACGCGATTTAATTGAGAAGGGGAGGAAATGAGCAGAAACTCACGCTCGCCCCTCCAGCTGCTTGTATGCATCTCTTCCCCGCCCCCAGCAGAATCGGGGAGGGAGGGAAGGAACAAGCCTAATTAAATAACCTCACCCCCCTATTTTGGAGAGAGGCGGGGTAAGGACAGGCCCTCAAGTGCTCAGCGCAATGGCACTTCCTAAGGACTCACAGTCTGTCGCAGGCAAACACAAAGGCTTGAGCTTGCACTTTGTTCGTTTCACGAAATTTATTATGTCCCGCTCGACAGCGAAATAAAATAAAGCCTGAAAGCGGTTAACAAAAATAAAACAGTGAAATTATCAGTAAAAACAACTGTTTAAAACGTCAACTGGAAAAATGTATTCGAATGTATTCGAATAAGCTGTGATAAATTATATACTGTACATCTGATTGTCCCAGAAACGATGCTAATCAAGCCTTTTAACGAAAAATTAAATTGCCATATCTAACCTCCCCCCTCAAAAAATAATATGCAAGTTAAAAACGAATTGCAACTAAAAACAGGTTGCATTCAATTTTAGTTCTAGACACGTGGAAATGGATGGGCAACTTAGGTCCCTTAATTTCAATGGGTCTACTTTGAGTAGAACTTTGCTGCATACAACCAATAGAATATTGTAATACCCTAAAGCCTAACAGTCCCTATTCCTTTTTGTGGGCTAGGAAAGGAAGGGAGATTTCAGGTTTGGAATCATAGATTTATAAAACTGTAGAGTTGACCCATCCCGTCATCTAGTCCAACCCCCTGCAATGCCTGCAGGATCGACTTAGTTTGTTTGGGGCTATATATTATTTACTTGTGACAATTGTATCCTTACCTTTCTTCCAAGCAACTCTAGGTTGTGTGAGTGGATCTACGCTTTCTGAACTTTCAACATCTTGATCCAGTGAGATGGGCTAGGTTGCGACTGCCACCCCCAGGTCAGCCAGTGTGTCTCACGACTGGATGGGGAGTTGAAACCTGGTCTTAACCTTCTCACCACTTCAACCGGAGATCCATCAATCAAGTCAACGCTTTCCTTTCCTGGCAGTTTCCACTCAATATGGCCCATTGAGGGTGTGTGTGGAGATACAGATATCTTTCCCATTGTGTTCTGCTCCTACCTGATTTGAAACATCCCAGCTGATATCAGTCCTATGGTTTACACAGTCTAATCCAAAGCATGTCTCCTCAAAAGAAATCCTCACTGTGTTCAGTGGGGGTTTCACTCAGGTGTGGGCGAACAGAAGGTGTATGGAAAAGAACCTGGTTGGTGGGACATGACTCCTCATCAATTACTTCTGTAACACTTCCTGGGGTCGGGGATAGGAAAACTGGGGGAGGGGGATTCATATTGTTCTTCTATTTCTTCTACAATTCTACAACCTATAAAAGATAGCATATATATATATATATATATATATATATATATATATATATATATATGCTATTTTCAGAACATATGATTTCACCTTACACACACACCATAAGGAAAGCTCTGCTGTATGCAGCTGAAGGCCCATCTAGTCCAGCATTATGTCCTCACAGTGGCAAGGGGGCACTGTGGTCTAAACCACTGAGCCTCTTGGGCTTTCCGATCAGAAGGTTGGCGGTTCGAATCCCATGACAGGGTGAGCTCCCCTTGCTCTGTCTCAGCTCCTGCCACCCTAGTAGTTCAAAAGCACACATGTGCAAGTAGATAAATAGGTACTACTGTGGCGGGAAGGTAAATGGCATTTCCATGTGCTCTGGCTTCCATCACAGTGTTCCGTTGCGCCAGAAGCGGTTTAGTCATGCTGGCCACATAACCCGGAAAGCTGTCTGTGGACAAAAGCCAGCTCCCTTGGCCGGAAGCGAGATGAGTGCTGCAACCTCACAGCCGCCTTTGACTGAACTTAACCATCCAGGGGGCCTTCATCTTTTTACCTGTACCTTTTTACCTTGGATCTGGTATAACGTTTCACCTGCTTAATTTACACCAGCTTGCTCTATGCCAGCTTCTTGTGCATAGGATCACTCCCAAAGGATGTAATGAGTTTGAGGTTTTCCCTCTCATAGGCCATGCCTTGCCTCATTCACTCTTAAACCTGGGCAGGTGGGTTGGCCCATGAAATGAAATCCAAGCAGAGATAGCAACACAGTACCTTGACAAGGCCCAAAGAGCATAATTAGCAATTTCTCTCGTCTCCTCTTTCCTGCTCCTTTCTTAACATCAAACCTAAGGAAGAATTCTGCAAATCCAGAGGGCCAGCTCCTTGCTTTGTGGTCCTTCTTTTCCTTCTTTGCCTTAAGACAAAATTATATCACTGTCCATGTTTGGAGTCATTAGACTGATGTCTTCCAGACTTTTGATAGTTGAGACACAGGCTATTAGGGGCATAGAATGGAAGAGTTGGAAGGTACCCCAAGGGCCGTCTATTTCAACCTCCTGTAATCCAAGAATCGCAGCGAAAGAATCTCTGACAGCTGGCCACTCAATTTCTGTTTTAGAAAACCTCCAGTGAAGGAGAGTCCACCACTTTCCAAAGTAATCTGTTCCACTGACAAACAGCTCCTACTGTCAGAAAGTTCTCCCTAATATTTATGCCACAGTCCGGTTCACAGGCAATTGAAGTCCCGGCTGGGGATGTCGGGACTGGGGGCAAGATGGTGGGGTGGGAGCAGGAATGGGAGTCCAGAAGCCAGGAGTCAGGAAGCCAAGAGTCCAAGGGTCAGAGAGCAGGGAATCAAGAAGCCAAGGGTCCAAGGGTCAGGAAGCAAGGAGTCACAAAGTCAAGGGTCCAAGGATCAAGAAGCAAGGAGTCACAAAGTCAAGGGTCTGAGGATCAAGAAGCAAGAAGTCACGAAGTCAGGGGTCCGAGGACCAAGAAGCAAGGAGTCAAGGAACCAAATGCAGCAAGGCAGGGAACGTGTTGCTGTGGCAAAGAGCCGAAGGGAAATGCTGGCCTTATATCCCTTCCTGGCTCTTGCCACCAGGTGCTGTGAGTTACCAATCGGCCTCACCTGTGTGGCCGCGCCTTGCCTCTTCAGAACAAACTTAGGAAGGCCCCAGTCCTGCAAAGTCCTACTGGTCACAGGGCCTGGCTCCTGCACGCACTCCTGACAGTTTAGTTGGAATCTCCTTTCTTGTAACTTGAACCCGTCGGTTCAGATGCTAGCCTTCAGAGCAGGAGAAAACAAGCTTGCTCCCTCTTCCATGGGCCTTTCAGGTTTTTGAAGATGGCTCTTTTATCACCTCCCAGTCTTCTCTTCTCTTCTATTATTATTCATAATATTATCATCATTTCTGGATTAAAAACATTGGGGGGGGGGAGGGGGATCTAAGCCGCTTGCAGGTATAAGACACCATAAATTAAGATGAGAAAATAGCAAATATATTATGATAAAAGGAATCAAATGGGTTCTGAATAGACATTTAAAGCACCCAGCTGATTGAACGTCCATAATCTCTTTTGGGAAGGTATTCTGGAGGATTGATGCTACAGCTTAGACCTGGAAGGTTTGAAAACTGCATGTTGGAAGATTCAGAAGAGACAAAATGAAGTCCTTCTTCGCACAGTGTGTGGTTGAACTGTGGAGTTTGCTCCCATACGAAGCAGTGATGACTGCCACATATCCTTCAACATTCCTCTAATGAAAACAGGAACATTTTTCACTCCCCCCCATGCCAACTGACCCTCCTCAACCACCATTTTTTTGGTCTCCCCATTGCACAGCATTTCCGATCAGAAGAATGTGTGACATTCTAATGTATTTTTAATCTTTGTTGGAAGCCGCCCAGAGTGGCTGGGAAAACCCAGCCAGATGGGTGGGGTACAAATAAATTATAATTATTATTATTACTATTATTATTATTATTATTATTATTATTATTATTGCTACACCAACAGGACAAAACGCACACACTTTCCACCATCTCGAGAAAACCCCTTAATCCCAATTCTATTTTACTATTGGGTAGATTTACAAAATGAAAAATGCACACCGATAAATAAACTTTAGAAAGGGGCAAGACTAGATACAGACACAAAAAGCATTAATTTTTTTTTCAAGATTCCTTGCACTCCGCTCTGCTCCACTTCCCCTTTCTTCCTGCCCAGGGAGGCCTTGCCCCTCTGCCTGCCCCTCAAAGCTGGTGTGTCATGTGGGGCTGGGCCCAGCGGTTGTCAGCCTCTCCTCTCCCTTGCCTGCTACAAGCTGCCCAAGGGAGGAGGTTGGCAGTGGTGACCATGAAGGGGCCATAGAGAGGCAATGGGATGCTCCCTCGCAGCAGCAGCAGCCCCCTCCCAGGCCCAGACAGAAGGGGGACCATATGGGCCACTTGGCCCGGGCCTCCGATTCCAAAGGGGGCCTTGGTCAGCATATTCACAAAAGCATTTTAAAATGTAAATACTTAAAATAATCCTTTTCCCTATGTATTTTTAAAAAGCACTATTGTTTATCTACATTTAGGATGGCGCTGTGGGTTAAACCACGGAGCCTAGGACTTACTGATCAGAAGGTCGGTGGTTCGAATCCCCGTGACGGGGTGAGCTCCCGCTGCTCGGTCCCTGCTCCTGCCAACCTAGCAGTTCGAAAGCACATCAAGTGCAAGTAGATAAATAGGTACCGCTCCAGCAGGAAGGTAAGCGACGTTTCCGTGCGCTGCTCTGCTTCGCCAGAAGCGGCTTAGTCATGCTGGCCACATGACCCGGAGCTGTACGCCGGCTCCCTCGGCCTATAGAGCGAGATGAGCGCCGCAACCCCAGAGTCGGTCAGGACTGGACCTAATGGTCAGGGGTCCCTTTACCTTTACCTATATCTATATTTTCCATTTTGTCTTTATATGCAGATATGGTTCAAGCCTTGAAATCAATTTATTTGTCAGCATAACTTTTGTGAAAATTATTTATATACTTACTTATTTATAAGACTTCAGTTCTCCCCAGGATAAAAAAAACGGGGGGGGGGGAAGCACATTATCTACCTGGCCCGGGCCTCTGCCTGGCTCTGCAAGACCCTGCCCACCACCACTCAAAACAAGTGTCATCTCATCCTCCCCCCTGAGCT